CAAAAAAAAAAAAAAAAAAAAAGAGAAAGAAGCATTGGTACAGGCATGTTGGAACAAGGTCCTGAGCATATGGCTCTGGCCTCTGTCCCCATCATGTATGAGGTGCTTTAGTCCTGGCTGTCACCTTTTTCCACCATTAGGTCCTATAAGCAGCCCATATACGCTTGACAAGAACAGCAGGAAACACTGCCACTAATGTTAAGTTGCTTCTGTTGATGAAGAACATGATCTGGAAGACCCCATGTCCATAGAAGGACACTGGAGTCAATGTGTCACAACTGGGAGTTTTCTCCCAAACAACACATGACTGGTGGAACAACATTACACTATTTGTGCAAAGGCCCGGCAGGTGATATTTCTGCAGAAGATGATCCAGGATGATTGCACACATCTCCTGCAAAGGATCTGGCCTCTTCTGCCTGCTCATCCCTGTATGTACCTGCTGGAGCCATGCTCAAGTGTGTGGCTTTTCTGGCAGGGGACAGGGCTCAGAGCATGGCTGCAGTGTGTTCAGAGTTGAGAGTGTTCTTAGCTGCTACTAAATCCACCCCCTTTCATCAATGGCTCTGACTGAGAGTGGTCAGCATAATTGGTAACAATGTCAGGAGTCTCCTGGACACCACCCAGGGTGTGTGGGGTCCCTGGCAGAGATATGGAGATGTATTATGGAGCAATCAGAGGAAGGGTTTGGCTGTCTGAGTGAGGTGTTTGACTGCCTGGATTTCTCGCCTTCCTGCACAACTTCTTTCTGAGGGCTGGTTTGCTGTTGGTGAATGTGCAGTCCTTGGGCAAGAGCCAGCACCCTGGACCTGTGTAATTAGCCTGCTTCAGGGACACTGTCAGCTGATCATTTTCTGGGTCTGAGGTTCATGGTCAGCATTTAGGGTATGGCTGGATTTGGGTCTCAGGCTGGTGTGGAGCTGGGCTTGTCTCACATGAGGCCTTGGTGCTGTCGGTGCTTGGACCCAGGTTGCTGCAGCGTGGCACCCAGCCCCTGGAGGACAGTGTGATGGCACTCCTCATCTGTGCTATTGAGTAATAACTTCCTTAGAGTAGTAGGGCACCCTTGGCTGCATCTTGAGTAAAAGTTTGGAAGATATACCTGCAGATAAAACTTGCCAGTGGCCTGTGTATTAGTTGATATCATTTGTTTATTGTGAAGTTGCCTCTGGCTAAAGTTGGATTTTTCTCTCCTGTTACTACCCATTCCTGTTAGTCCAAACAACATATTATCCAGAAAGCAATCAGTACTCTTACACTGTGAACTTTTGTTACTGTGCATATGTCTCTGAAACACATTTTCAAAGTAAATTATGGCTAAAGGAAACATGAGAAGAAGCAGCACTCTTAGAGGGTGTGTCCATTAGAAATGTACCTTGCAGGCAGGTCTACAGAAATTCCAGTCACTGGGAACAAATATAGTGAGTGATATTGTATAATCTTTCTATAAGAAGAGCATATAAATAAATATGTGCTAGACTGTTTTGGAAAATGTTGGAGGCCATTGTAGTGAGTGGTATTTTTTCAAGAGAACAATACTACATAAAGTCTGTCCTCTGTGTCTTTGATGATGGGTCCTTGACAACCACTGTGGAAAAGAGTTCTTATGCCCTTACCTAGACTCTGGGCCTCAGTGACTGCTCCGACCAGTGACTTGGCAGAGCCTTAGAGCGCCTAGAGCTGGTCATCGAAGGCCTCTAAAAGTATAAGGAAGGCAAGCCACATGCAGGGCCATGGAGGGATGTTTTGTATCCATGGGTGGGTTGCTAAGCCCTCCCTGAATTATTAGACAATTCTGCTGTGTCCTGCTGTCCAGGGGGCAGGTGTTGGAAGTGACATAGCTGCCTATGCTGAATTCCTACTACTTGTCTTTAGCATGAAAAATAGTTGTTTTGGCGCTAAAATATGTGCTAGTTCCCCCCCCCACCAAAAAATCTATAATTTCAGGGAAGTTTTAAAGAAACTGTTAAAGGCATTTTTCCAACACTTAACAAACTAACACTGAAAATGCTGTGGAGAACCACAGCGTGAAGAACAGTTAAAGTGATCCTGAGGAAAAATGAGTGATTCCTGCTAACAGTTCCAAAGAGTAATGAGGTGCCATTCCTGCCAGCCAGACCACAGGCCCACCCCCGAAACCCCGGTGGGAACAGCTTGCGTTGGCAGGCAGGTATGCAGGGCAGAGAGTGGGATGTCTGGCCAGTCGGTTTCCCTGCTTCCTGTGGTACATGGCACCAGAGCAGGGCCCTTGATTTACTGAGTTGGGAAGGTTGGAATTGCATCCTTACTTTACCGCCCCCATGTCAGAACAAATTTCAGTTGTATAAAAGTAGAAGTTTCAGAGTGAGCTATAGGAGAATACACAGCTTTGAAATAGTAAGAAATTTCTTTAAAAAGAGGCAAAATAGTAGCACAATTCATAATAGTTAAATCTGAAGCAACCTTTGTGTTCTTCAACAGGTAAGGAAAATGTGGTATTTACAACAATGTAGTATGATTCTGCCATAAAGAAAGAGAAACTCAAGGGGCTTATAGGAAAACAGGTGAGCCTTGAGACCATAATAATCTTAAATGAAGTAAAGCAGACACACAAGCTTATCTATCACATGGTTTCTCTAGTATGAAAACCCCAAATTATAGAAGAACAAAATAAAAGATAGGTAATAGGAAATAGGGAGATAGATCTTTCTCACATGAGAAGGAGATAAAGAGATGGAGAGGTGGAGGGAGAGGAGAGAACGGAGATGAAAAAAGGAATTCAGATGTGTTATGCATGTGTACCAACTCCATACAAGGAATGTAAACATTATATTACTGCAAAATATGCTAATAAAAAAGACACTATATATGACCATGTTATGTATGACTTATATATGCCCTTAACCACATTGTTTATAAAGTGACACTCTAAACAAAGAAGCCACATTGGAAAAATTACCTGTAGCACATTTTATTGACAGAAATTAGTATTTAAATATATGAGGAATTCCTGCAAGCTGTTAAGAAAAGCACGCCAATTGATAGAGTGGTTGATCACCCATACAGCACACTTGTAGGCCAAGTAGCTGTCTCCTCTATGTGGTTGCCCCAAGAGCCTCTCCAAGCAGTGGCTTGCTCTGTTCTTGGCCCTCAGTGCGGTCTTCCTGGGTATTTCCCTTCCCTGTGTGATGCTCACATGCCTCATTATTATATTTGCCTTAAACAGGTCAGTTAGACTTTAAAATTGAAAAGTGTGAAAATTGCCATCTATTTTTACCAGTTCATATACCACTTTTAGTGTTTTGCTACTCATGTGGATCCTGTTTTTTATCTGGATCATTTTCCTTCTGCCAGAGAACTTTCTTTAACGTTTATTTTAGCACAAGTCAGCTGCTGTTGATTCTCTCGGCTTTTGTTTATTTGAAAAAGGTCTTTGTCTTCATTTTTGAAAGACTTGTTTGTTGGAAATAGAATTCTAGCTTGTTAGTTTTTTTCCCTCACTACTTTAAGGATGTCATTTCGTGGTCTTCTGTGTTACATTGTTTCTAATAAGAATTTGGCCATTGTTCTTATCTCAATTTTCTTGTATATAATATGTCCCCCCCAACTGCTAGTTTTTTGTGTTTATAGCTGGTTTGTAGCAACTTGATTATGTGTACTTTGGTTTGATTTTATTTTCAATCGGTGAGTTTATATAATTCTAATCAAACCTGGAAATCGTTTGTCCATTATTTCTTCAAATGCTACTTTTTCTCTCTCCTTCCCCCATGTCCTCAGATTCCAGTATGCTGATGCTTCCCACGGCCCTAGAGCTCTTCCCTTTCACTCTACTCCTGTGGTGGGTCTGTGAGTCCCCAGTCTGTTCTCAAGCAGGTTTAATCTGCCTTTAAATCCATCCAATGAGTTTTATTTCTAGTACTGTATATTTAAGCTCCAAAAGTCCTTTGTGGTTTTTGGGCTTGTCTGTCTTCATTACATTTGTGAAGTCTTAAGACTCTGATCATATTTGTGATTGCTCTTTTAGGTTCTTTCAGCTAATTCCATCATGTCTGTTTTTTCTGGGTCTGGTTCTATATATGGCTTTTATTTTTTTTAAAAATGATTTGGTCTTTTTTGCATATCTGGTAACTTGGATATGATGCAGATAGGATTCGAGTTAGTTCAGTGTTGAGCCTTATTGTCCTTCCTCAGAGCCCTTTGACACTGTGTTTGCCAGCAGTTGAGTACCTGAGGGCCCACTGCATTCATCAAGGCTCACCAGTGTGTTTGCCTTTCCTGACTCACATGCTGCTAGAGCTCAGGCCTTGCTCCTCCTGCTGCCTTCCTCTTGCCTTTCCTTCCATTCATGGGTCCTTATGCAGTGCTCCCTCCTCAGAAAAGACAGAATGGTCATCTGCTTTAGATTTGTGGAATATTAGAAGGAGAGAGATAGTAGGGCTGGAACTATATGCTGATGGATGATGGAAAAGCTGTGATAACTGTTACTACCCTCACTTTGGGCAGGAAGGATCAAACAAGGGCGGGAGTAGGTAGGCTCTAGCTTTGTGTTTGTGGGTGAAGGCTCCTCGCCTGTCAGATCTTATTTCTTAATAGGGTCAAACAAAAGTGCCAGGAGACTATACTCTTTGGAATCACATTTCCTATGGCAGGTGGCCTATGCAAGTTCTCAGTCTCCCTACCTCAGTGTCTCTAACCCTGGAGGGCTCAGGGTCCTGGAGGTCTGTGTGGAGGCCAGAGCTCAGAGTCTGAGCCAAATGGCCTGTGGCCCATATACCTGGAACACATAGTGGACCTCACTTTCTGATGTGGCTGCCATCATGCTCCTCCCTGCTTCCTGTGCCCTCAGTTGGTGTTGGTTTCAGTGTATCTTGGTCACATTCCTGTCACTGTGACACAGTACCCAAACATCCTCAATTTAAAAGAGGAGAGATTTATTTTGGCTCATAGTTTAGTCCATAGTTTGCTAGCTCCAAGGCAGGAATGGGATGGCAGAGGGGTATGATCAAGGAAAAGGACTCAATCATGGCAGCCAGGAAGCAGAGAAAGAGAAAGAGCCAAGGAATGATATATCCTTCTAGGCTCTACCTGCTAACAGCACATTTGGCTATGAACTAATCAGTGGATTAATCCACTGATGAGTATAGCACCCCCATGATTTAATCACTCTTAAAATCCCCACCTCTGAATACATGAACCTTTGAGGAACATTTTAGATCTAAACTGTCTACCTGGAGATGTAAAAAATGGTGTTTGAACCACACCCTTATACCTCATAAGGACACCTGTAAAATGGCAAGGTGTCAGTGTGCTTTCGCTTACTGAGCTTCTTTTTTCCATCTAGGGAACTATTATCGAGTGATGCAATGAAAGAATACAACAGGGCACGAGTCTACCTGGATGAAAACTACAAATCACAGGAGCATTTCACAGTAAGTCTTCTTCTGTTCTGTGGTGTCAGAGTCAGGCAAGGCAAACCTCTTTGACACTGGGTCTTCCTCTAAGCCAACAGTTGGTCCACATGCTCTGTCTTGCTAGCATAGTATGCTTGGCCTGAGTTAAAATGTTACCACATCCTGCAGTCTGTTGGGTAGCCTGTTGAGTAGTTACCATGGGCTGGTTGGGATGATGGGTATGGCACAAATGAGCACATCAGGAGTGCTCCAGGGCAGGCACTGTTGGTTGCCTTCTCAACAGCTGGTAGAGGAAAAACTGAAGTGAGAATTTGGATGAGGATAGCCAAGAAATAGAAGGCCTTATCCTCAAGCTGTGTGAATAAGAGGAAACACTCAGCACCTCTGGAATTACACAGCTGAAAGATTGAATTGCAACCCGGCTGTTCAGCAGAGCCATGCTGCTATGCTTAGCCATTCCTTTGTGACCTATAAGCTGGCCTAGGGGCCAAGTCTGCTTTCTAGAGGGGCTGTCTTACATGGTAGCACAGGGGATTGGAGCAGAGCCTCTGTGGAGGTAGGTTATGGTCCTTGTCCTTCAGTCCATCCCCTGTCCTGGGAGGTTGGTACAAGCAGGTATTTAGTGATTTCATCGCCTCATGGAGAGACAGTGCTTGAGTGCTGGGGATGGGTGGGACAGAGATACACCTGCCTTCCCTTGGGGTGTGATTTTGGGATTCTACTGGGATTGAAGGACCATCTGTGAAGGTGTCAGTCTCTGCATTTTATGCCAAGTAAGTGATATTTTTTTCATTGCTGAGACCGTCACATAATGGTAGACTCCCGCATCTGGTGTTAGTGAGCTTACATAATCCATGCCCTTGTCACTTACACCTACCCTCTGCAGTACCCCTAGATCCTTCTCCATGTCTGCCCTCTACCCACACACAGAAGCAGGCTTGCCTCCAGCTCTTTTGGCTATACTGAGGCTGTGCGAGCTAGGACCCTGGTCTCCCCGTGCTCAGGACACAGCCCCTCACCCACTCTCTTTTCTCTCTTTCTCCCTGTGTCCTTATCCTTGCTGTCCTCCTAGCTCAAGACTTACCTGTCCTTCTCAGAGGAGGCAGCTTCCTTTAGCCCTTTCACTTTCCTCTGCCAGAATCCAATTTTCTGTCTTCTCAAGTGGGTTTTATACAGGTGAAAAAGACAAAGGCTAAAAACAAACAAACAAACAAACAAAAATACCACTGGCATCCAAGTATGATGTATCAATCTTGTAATTTCAGGTACTGAGGAAACTGAGGCAGAAGGATCCAAAATCTGAGGCAAGCCTAGGCAGCTTAGTGAGACGCTGTCTCAAAATAAAATGTAAAATAAAAAGGGGCTGATGATTTAGATCACATTAAGGCTCTGGATTCAATTCCCAATACCTTAAAATAGACATACAGAAAAATGCACTGTCTGTGATGAATCACAGAATAGACCCTGCAGAAGTAAAGGAATAATCATGATGGTAGATAACTCTGCATGGTTGAAGAGGGGACCACTCCTTCGTGGTGGAGGAGTGTCCATATATAGGGAAGAGCTGCCTCCTGATGGTGGATAACTGAGACAGGTGAATTGGTGCTACCCACTGATGGTGGCAGACTGAGGGGATGAGGAAGGGCTACCTTATGATTGAGGACTGTGCAGGGATGAAGAGGATCCATTTCCTGATGGTGGAGTACTATGCCGAGATGAAGAGAGGCTGCCTAGAAGGTGTTACATAAAGGGGCTACCTATGCTGGAGGAATGTGGGTGGATGAAGAGTTACAATCTCCTTATGGTAGAAGACAGCAGGAATGAAGAGAGACCACCTCTGATGGTGAAAGACTGTAGGTTTGAAGAGGTGCTACCTTCTTTTAGTATAGGACTATGGAGGATTGAAGAGAGTCTACCTCATGATAGTGAAGGACTGTGCTTGGGATGAAGAAGGGCCAGCCTTTGGTGGTGGAGGACTGTGCCCATATGAAGATAGGCCACCTTTTGATGTGGGAGGACTGTGCAGGATAAATAGGGGCCACTTTGTGTTGGTGGAGGGCTGTATTTGAATGAGAGGCCACCTCCTGATGGTGGAGGACTGAGGCAGGGATGAAGAGGGGCCACTTCCTGATGGTGGAGGACAGTGGAGGGTTGAACAGGGAATGATTTGAGATTTCCTTTCTTGTGGAAGGTATGTCAGTGTGGAAGTGGGCCACTTGTTTCTGAAATGCTTGTGTCTGTGTGGTACCCTACAGTACTGAGTGGTGGTATTATGCCCATCTATTTTTCACTAGTCATATTTTGAAATTGAAAATCTCTGCTACCTTTGAAACCAAGGTCAGTCGCATAGGGTGAGTGGAAAAGCAAATGTATGTTGTGGTGTCCCTGAGGCTATTTCCCTACTTGCCCACATTACTGGTAAATTTCTAGAATATGGGCTGGCAGAAGGCTTGGGCACAAGTGTGTCATCATAGTTCAGCTCACCAACTAGTTGGAGTCATGGTGGGGCTCTTTGCGTGCCATGTGGTATATCTGCTGCTGTCTTCTCTGACTCAGTGGATCCTTGTGGCCTGGCTTCCTTCTCTAACAAGGTATCCTTGTGTCTCCTGCAGTTATGGTCTTGTTTAGGTCCCTTCATAGCTGGTTGAGAGACTGTGGGCAGCCTTGATTAGTAGGTAATGTTTGTGGTCAGGGCTGTTCCTTACTTTGGACACTGAGGCAGTGGGCTGTTATCATCCCTGGTTACCACTGACACTGTAGTAGTTACCTTGGAGCTATCTATGAGTGTTGCCACTTTATCCTTGTCCACTGTTCCTCTCAGTGGGCATGGCCTTTAGTGGGGGCTTCTGGGTGTGCTGATAGAGAGGACTGCACCTCATGGGTCCTGAGCAGTGCTGGGTGCCATTGGCCATCTAGGTGGCCACTCTTTTGCTCTCCCCTGCCCAGCATAGTGCCCTCTGGCTTCAAGTGGAGGAAAATTTAATCTTTGTAAGATTGATGGTATTGGAGCAGTATTTTTAGCTGAGTCTGATTCAAATAATAGGCCATTAATTGAAAAAGGAAATTGGAATGAATTTATCTTGTACATAAATGCTGTCACCGGCACTAATAGGAATCACAGAATAGTGACCTTTTCCCAGAAAGCTGTTGAACTAAACTGTATATCCCATGCACGTGAGCTGGTAGAAGGTGGGGGGTTAGCATGTTGGCAGTGGAGGTTTGTTGTTGGTAGCTTTTTTTAGGTTTGTGGTGAGAGGATCTGCTGCTCCTTTTGGTAGGGGGATAGGTATGGGAGTTTGGTATGTTTGTGCTAGGGTGTGCTTCGCTGTTGCTAGTGTTTGTCATGTGGGTAGCCATGTTCTGATGCTCCTGTGCTAGGGCAGTCTCTGAGGGGCTTCCGGCAGAGGCAGGCAACTTGCAAATGACCTTTGTTGCCAGGAGGTGGCGACAGTGCAGCATCTGTAGCTAGAGTGCTCCCTGTAGGAGATTCCTGTAAGGGAATTTTGGTACTTAAATGGTGAGATTAAGTTTTGTTTGCTCACAGGAATGTTTATGTGTGGTTGCTGATATTAGTAGGAGCCTCATTTGAGCCTCATTTGGTCTGTGCAGAGACTCTAAAGATGATCCAGCTTTACTCCCTGGGCTCCCTGGGTGGGATCTCTCTCCATGGTCTATGCCATTGACCATGTCCTTACCTGCCTGCATTTGCTGTGGAAAGTTGGGCATTGGAAGTCTGTCTCTCCAGAGGTGCTACAGTCTGGCGTGTTCTGGTACCAACACTGAAACACTTAGATCTTTGTCTTGTTCCTGGATACATGTGTGGATGTCTCTACCACTTGTACAGAGGACACTGGTCCAGGCATTGGCATTAATATGAGCTACCCAAGGGATGTGAACAAGTGTGCTATGGCTCAGGACCCTAAAAGTGCCTCCAACATTTCTTCCTAGTTGAGAATCACCCTCAAAGCACACAGCATAGAGGTCTGTGTGTTAGATAGATTTATACTTCCAAGAACAGCAGCTTTGACTGGGAACCTGGAGCCTGGAGCCTGGGATTCTGCCAGCATATGCATGTGCTTGGTGAAGGTATTTTGATTTGGTGAATGAATAGGGATTTTAGAGACACTGGTGCTAGGGCCAGAGTATCTAAGTATTTGGTTTGTGGATTAAATATGGACACTATCCAGTGGAGGGTGGAGAAGACAGTAGGGCACTTGTTGAGTGCAAGGGGACATAAGCCTGAAGACAGGATTGGAGACTATTAAAGTTCAGATATATTTATTACCATAGACTGGATGAGGTCCCTTGAGCCTGACTATAGACAGTGGCACCTAGTGCCCCAGAATTTAGAGATGGAAAGAAGAGATGAGTTTATCCAGAGCATGGTCATTGGAGGTGGGGTGGTGGCAAGTGGTGTGCCAGAATCCATATGGCAACCGAGAATGAATCCCTTGGGAAAGGGTGTTGGGGCATGGCAGAGGCTGCATCCCTCTGAGGCACCCATCCTGCTGGGCCCAGATCTCAGCCTTGTATATTCCCTAAGGGCTCTAAGAACTGTGGGGGCATGGCACCCAGCAGAGGAGACCTAAGGTCTGTTCCAATGTATACAGTCTGACCTTGTAGCAGGGATCCACAATGTCCTGTTCTTGAGGAAGAGCCAGCAGTGCCTTCCAGGTGATATTGCATACATTTGGTGTTCTGGCAGGTTTCATATCCTAATGTCCTAGTAGTGTTTTTGTAATTAGTCAATCAAAAACAAAAACAAAAAACCAGAACATTCCCAGTTTAATTATCAGTAAGCATACCTAGTTCTGCCCATGCATGTGGTAAGTGAGGCGCCAGCTCTTCTACAGAAGAGGCCAGTGCATGAGGTCCTGCAGCTTGTTGCATCAGAGTAGAAAGCCATGCTCCCCCATGTGGGAGAAACTTTCCTGGATCTCATGCTGTGTTGCCCTCTGCCTCAGTGATCAGTATCTCCTATCATCAGGATCTGCCTTCTTGGCTTCTCCTTGTGTCCC